GTAAAACGGAGTCGAAGTGACGCCGACTGCTTACCCAGGGACGTATTGAATGTGGTCAGAGTCGCTCGGTCCATCTCCCTCGTTGGCCTTTGATGCCACTTAAGTGCTCCCAAAAAGGTCGAATTCGCACGTTAAAATAAGACTTTGGGGATCGAAGTGGGTGTTACTCGTGACAAGTGCAAACACAGCTTTAATAAATTTGTTTTGGTAAACAAATATCATCGTTACCATTGAAACTGCTGCTTCTTACAGGCTTCAATGGAAACGCTCTATTCTGCACCAACGTGCCTTCGCCGCAGCCTTCTCTGTCAGTAGACGACCTCTCATGGAGCAGATTCACTAAAGTTTGCCAGATGTGCTTTGGGTTGTTCCGAATTCCTCCTACTTCCTCTGTCCAGGTTTGCGGTGCTGGCAAAGGCATCGATGAGGCTTGCAGTTGTGCCAAGGATTGTTGCTGCAATGTTTGTCCGTCTGGGACTGTCCATAAAGCCGCTGGACTGCCTTCTCGCCTTAGTGAAACGTCTAGGCTACTGGCGTTGTTGTTTGCCCAATGCCTCGAGACTTCTGGTGGCACATGGACACAGTTGGATGACGTGCCGACAACAGAAGCACTGTCAGTGCCATCAGAGGTGGATCTCTTCATTTTGTAGCGGTGGTTTTGGAACCAAATCTTCACCTAAGAGCAATAACAGAAGTGCATGAAGTGGATTTCAAGACACGGTGGAATGGAGCTCCAAATACGGCTACGTGTGATGGCACCTGTGTAGGAGTCAGACCGATACTGTGAGCAAGTTCGGCGCGTTCCTGAGCTGTGAGGTAGTGCTGTTTCCGAAAGCGTTTCTCCAAATGAGCAATTTGAGACTTGTTGAATAGGACTCGGCGCTTTGAGGAATTTTGAAAATGCGTCATCATCATCAGCATTTCCAGATGACGAGGATCGGCAGAAGGTGAGGAGGAGGCGGAGGAGGAGTCAGCGAGCAAGCAAGGAGAAGGTAGGGCTGAATGAAGATCATGTGGCCTGTGAAAGAGCTTCGTCAGACTCGGCTGATCAGCGACTTGGGATGGAAAGGATTGGGTCCAGGGCGTCTGCTGCACTCGTGTTTCCGTGCTGAGCATAGATGGGTTGGAAATTGAGAGAAGTGGTGAAGTGGTTGTCGGTGTGAAGTCATCATTCGCTGTCCTCGGGGTTCCTACACCAACAGAAGTAAAGAGCACTTGACATTGCCTGGGTCAGAACTTGCCTTGACTTAAGGACGTTGAGTTTTTCTTCACACTCAGCAGGCCGGTGTCACTTTGGGAAGCAACAAGAAATGCTTCGCCTCACGCATTGTTTGACAATGGCATGCTGAGGCGAGGAGGACCGCCTAAACAAACATAGCCCCTTAGATCCTATCTGTTCAATCCACGTGGTTTCCCCACCGCCTCTAATTGTCAGTTTAAATGGGCGCAGAGTGAATTCCATTGACGCTACCCTAGAGATCGCAGTGATAGTGGTTTGAATGTCATCTACGTCTTCTCATATCTTAGGTGTTAA